CTTGGAGTGGCTCAGGCGGTAGGTGCTTCGAGTCACTTGGTCTCTATGTGCTTCGAGAAGCTTGGTTGGTAGGTGCTTGGACTGGCTCGGCCGGTAGATGCTTGGAGTGGCTCGGTCGGTAGGTGCTTGAAGTGAATCGGTGGGTAGGTGTTTGTAGTGGTTTGGTCTGTAGGTGCTTGGAGTAGCTCGGCCGGTAGGTGCTTGGAGTGGCTCGGTCTGTAGGAGCTTGGAGTGGCTCAGTCAGTATGTGCTTGTAGTGGCTCGGTCAGCACAAGATGAACCTGGACACGATCCCTCAGCAGTTCACCGCCGTTTGTATACTGCACAACATACTTATCGACACTGAAATTTCGTCCGACGAGAATCTTCTATGGGAGGTTGACGCTAATGGTGTGCGACGACGTGTGGACCTGGGGATCGAAGAACCCCTTCAGCCTGTGTCGATGATTACGTCGACGAGGGAAGCGTTGGCCTTGTGGAATGCTTTGGCGGAACGAATGAAACACGCTTGAGTCGTCTTCGCATGGTGGACGACAACGCGTGGAAGTGTAGTCATTGTAGAACTAGCCGAAGGGTAGATTCGTTGTTTCGTCCACCCTTGATTGAGTTGTTAGTGCGCGTCCCGCCTTGGAGTTCGTAGTTTGTGTTGGAGGTTATAGTTCGTCGGCGTCGCAATTCGTGGATGTGCATAGCCATTGTTCAGGGAGTTTTTTTATTGGCGTTTACGTTATGAAGTGGGGATACAGCGCACTGTGGGTGTCAAGTGCGCCGTTTTTTTTTTGAATAATGTGTGCTGTTTAGAAGACAGAGTAGGGTTGGTCATGGGGGTGGGCCTGGAACTTGTCCCCCCTACGTCGCATTTTGATGTCTTTTTAATGAAATTATGCACAATTTCGTAATTTTCTTCTGCTATTAATACAGTCAATTGTCAGTATGTGTTGTTATTCTTTGTGTTGCTATTTCATTGCGATGATCAAGACAAACGAAGATGCACTGTGCCATAACATGTTCGCAACATGTGTTCTTGGACATCGTCTGCTCTATGGGGTTATGCGCATTGTCTTTCTTCGACTGTTGAAATCATAATCAAACACGTTTTTTTGGGTGACATTGGGAAAACTGCAAAACAAACAAACAAACAAACGAGCGACAATGACATAAGAAAAACAAGATGAAATGTGTGCATGCAGATCGAACAAAGGAATGGCTATTCATGATTAATCTGAACGACTAATCAAACAGACGAATGACCATTCAGTCATATCAGCGAACTGACGAAAACAGCGGGCGCAAGATTAAAAATTTAACGGTGCGCTCCACGCGCAATCTTGTTTTTTCTCAGCAAGCCATGCTGACAACAACACACAACATGATAACAGAAATCGAAAACCCTCCTACAAGGTCGGTCGTGTACACGCAGGAGCGACACGCTGTACACGTGCGCAACGAATGGAAAGGCGATCACGACCACCAACGTCCAAACGCGCCGCCTCGAATCGTCGAGCTCCCACACCGCCCCCCGCCGCCCAAACGTGCCCCCACCCGTCGCTCCTTCCGCTTCCCTCTCCCGCGCCACACGTGTCACCTGCCCCCCCCCCCTCTCCTCTACGCATCGTCTTTTCCATCGTCTTCGTTGTCCTTCTCCAAAGAGCCCAAACCCAACCAATCCAGCCTCTTCGCGTCCTCCGGCCCCTATGCTAGCGTCGTGCCCGAAGACAATGCCGCATGATGCCTAGTCCGGGATGTACTTCGGGTGCTCTCCCAAGGTGGCGTTCGCCTTCCCTAGCCTCTAAGTGACGACGTTTGTGGCTCGGATGACGAATCGTCGATGGTCGAAAGAGCGATGCATGGAAGCGACGAGCGTGGGCTTCACGGCCAGCTTCGCGAAGTGGAAGGCTTCGTAGTGGCAGATCGTCTCCCTTAATGTGCCTCAACCACATGTTGCCCGCGAACATAAGCCTGAAGCAATCAACAACCCTTGACAGACGGTCATGTGAGATGAAGTCGCCGTCGATGTTCGCACCCATTTGCACCGCGATGCAGAATGCATGCGCAATGCATATGACAGTGGACTCCTGGTACGCCGCCATGTCATCGTTCTCCGGCCTGTCCTCGATGTTCGCGCCCGTGAACCACAGTGGCAAGTCCATGGACAGGTCAATTGTGTGCGCGCAAATGACCACACTCACGATGTTGCTCCACTCCTCGGCGTACCACATAGCACGCGCAATGTCCGTGGCCACCGACTCCAGCGCGCACTGGAAAGCGAGATTGTATCCTCGGAGGTGGTTCCCGAACTTGAAGACCCAGCCGTGCAAGACGCACGAATCAATATTCTCCACTACCGCCGCACAGGAGATCGCCTGCTGCAGTTGTGCGCGATCGACAATCCTTGTTATACTCGTGGAGGATTTTGGCATAACGACGCTCCGGGGGATGACAGACGCTTGCTGACCGCTGGCGATGGTGACAAAGTACTCCCGCGTTTCGTGGATGATGTTGTACAGTCTTCGCCCCTCCGCCGTTGTCCATAATGCTTTGTCATCAACCCACAGTCGGGCACGATCGACCAGGTCTTTCGCCATGCCTCCCCTTCGTACCCGGCTTAAAAGGGGGTCGTCGTCCTCCCGATCACCTTTCTTCCCGCCACGAGCCAGCTCCCGCTCCACAACTGGAAGCTCCTCTCTCACTCTCGCCACGGGTGCCACATTGCCTGGAGTTTCTGCACCCGCAGTAGCGATCGCCCCCCCCCCCCACCACGTGTGCTTCTAGCTGGACTTCCCCCCCTCCGTCGCATTCTATGGAGCCTCCCTCGTCAGACGTGTTGCGTGGACACGACTGAGACGGTGTGGAGGGCAGCCCACCCAGAGGTGGCCTTTCGTCGGTCGCTTCTCCTACCCTGACTGCCACAGTCATGGCGCCTTGTGTGACATTGCGCTGCCGACATCTTTGCAAGGGCTCGTCATCCTCACCGCCGACGTTGACAATAACCTCCTTCGCCTTCAGGGTATCGCGGGCACGCACGTGATGCGCCCTCGGAGGAGGCGTCAACAATCTCCTTGCAACACTCTGATCTGATGACCGTTGGCAACCACTCCCCCGAAGTGCGGACACGGTGTTCTCTGGTGCTTCTTCCTCCGTCGCCAAGACGTCATCGTCGTCGCCTTCGTCAGCTGTCGCCCAAGTCTGCGCTCGTCGAGGAGGCACATCCTGATGCTTCTTCCGAACGAAGCCTCTTCGCCTTGGGGATATGTCACCGACCCCTTTCACGCCCCTGAGTGTCCGCAGGGACGATATCCCGCTTCTTACCACGGGCGTCGGCTCGCGCAGACATGCTTCCTGCCTCCCTCTACAGGCGAGTTTGGCAGCCGGATTGGATGATCGAGAACACTACGTCGAGAGCCGATGGGAGTTCCGCTGATCTGGCGAGAAGAACGTCTCGCATACGGATCGTTCGTGGCGATGCCTGTATTCTCGATGACGAAGAAGGAGCGCCATTGCCACACAGACGAGCACGACGTCCACGTGTACGAGAGAGGAAAACGACCCCGGCGAGACTGCTCCGTGGCGAGAAGAAGACAAGACAGACGGCGCCGAACCTCCCAAGGGGCGAGACGGATCCGCGGTGACAAGCAGAGAGTGCTCCGCCTCAGATCAGCCCGAAGTCCCCGACCGCGTCGTCTATCAACGTATCGACAGAGCTCCGCGGGCCGAACGCGAGTGCTGTACATGGCGAGGAATGCCGACGTGACGAGAAGGCGAGAAGATCCACGACGATGATCATCGATGACACTGAAGAAGTCCCCGACGAGGAGGCGTAAGATATCCGCGGCGAGCACGCGATAGCGGTCCGTTGCGAGGAGGAGAAAAGCTATAGGGCGTCCCGCGTGGTTGTGCTTGCTGTGCAGCACGTGCGGCGACCTTTTGTTCTGCAGACGCGAGAAGCGGATGACCTTTATGCGGGACGGGGCGTAGACACCTCGATAAGATGGAGAAGACGGACGGGCCCCAACGTCGCTTCTTCGCCTACCGCCATCGTCGACAGCGACACGTGTGACAACAACATTCCAGACCACGTTCGCGCACCCACCCTTCATCTGTTGCCAATGCCACCCTCCCCAAGCCGCCGACAAACCCTTCGACCCCCCTGCCGACGCGCGTCCATACACTATCCAGGGACCAATAAATAAATAAATAGAAGAAACAACCCCATCCCCC